GCCCCTGGTACCTTTTTTCATAGGCTTTTTTGAGTTTGGGCAAGGACACAGGGGCCCCATGATCCCCTATTGCCAGGGGGCCCCATGAGTTGTCAGTCCGCCCCTGGGTGGGGGGCTTTTTGGCAGGGAGGGGCCTGGAGCAATTTCCTCTTTGGCCCCATTATAAATCTGGCACTGATGGCCACATGCCTTGGGAACAGGTCACATGGACGCAGGGGATCCAGTTCCAGGGAGACACTGGAACATCTATCTGTAAGGGAAAAGGCAGATTTCCTAACAAGTGGAACTTGGACCTTGCTGTATAAATTAATATCTCTCAATATCTTCCAGTGACCATTGCAACCAAAACAGAAAATCAGTGGAAACCTAAACATTAGAGTTATCATATGACCAACCTTTTGAGATTTCCTCTCACTTTTTGTTGTGCCTCCATGCAGAAAGTAAAGGGAATTTCCCCACTAGGATGCAAACAGAAAATATATAACCTATGCAAACAGAAAATATATAACCTGTTAGGGGTTTCACCCTAACATACTCTTTTCTTGTTCAAACTATTTTATTAACAATAAACCAGAATGACACAAACAAGGAGACATTACTAATGTACACTGGACATTGAAGTGGCAGTAGGACATAAAAAAAAATGAATGAAGGTCACAGCACAAATGTCTATACATTTCTGACGGAAACAGGTAGTTAAGAGTTGATAGCAAATGACGTTATTGTTTCAGCCAATCAGAGTAGTGTCTCGCAAGGGCATTAAAGAAATAGGGGAAGTTTGGAGGGGGGTCAGACAGGGGTGGAAGGGGGGGAAGGGGAAGAGGAACAACAACGATGACTCCATGAGCATTCATCAAGTTTACAACAGCCCCTACGTGCTGTGTACGAAGGGCTATTGACAATACCCTTGGCGCACAATACACAAATCAAGGGAGAAGGAGTGATTCATCAAAGTTAGGCGGGAGGAAATGCTCTACCCAGGGGCTCCATATGCGCAAGAATTTAGGGATCGTGTCAAGAATTGTGGCTTCCACCTTTGCATGTATCATGGCTTGTGTTATTCTGGTTTTGACGGCCGCGATACTTAGGGTGGGGGATTTCCAGGATTTCGCTGTAACCTGCTTAGCTGCCGTCGTAACTTGCATAAGGAGCTTGAATTGAGAATTGGAGATGCCAGGGGGGCACTGATTGAGTAGGGCTGTTGTTGGGTCGGGTCGTAGAGTGATAGTGCTAAGTGTAGATATCATGGTGAAAATTTCATCCCAAAAGATTCGGGCTACTGGGCAGTCCCACCACATATGGTAGTGTGTTCCTGGGTCCGTACAGCTCTAAAACAGTTGGGCGAGTAATTAGGGGTAAATTTTGCGATTCTCGCTGGGGACCAAGTACCAGCGGGTTAAAACGTTATAATTCATTTTCCAATACTACAATGTTCTGCGAAGATGATTTTGTGTTGGCCCAAATGTGGGTCCCAATCAGATGGGTCGAATCTCTTACCTAAATCCACTTCCCACCTATGGGTATACAGAGGGGGGACGTGGTAATCAAAGTAGCGAAGAGTGAGTATAAGCAGGAGATAAGCCCACGTCTATGAGGGTCTTTGCAACACACTCGTTCAAAGAGAGAGACATGGCGTCTGGTCGATTGGTTATTGTAGCGTAGGGGGAGTAGAAGTGTTGTAGCTGTAAGTATCTGAATATCTCAGAAGCTGGGAGGCCATGTGTTTCCCGCAGTGAGGCAAAGGATTTAAACTTATTCCTCTGTAGGAAATGATGTGTATGGAAAAAATTAGCAGAGGACCAGGCTTTGAATAAAAGGGGTGTCTGCCAGGCCGGGGGAAAAGCTGGGTTTTGGAGAAATGAGAGCATACAGTTGCAAGAAAAAGTATGTGAACCCCTTGGGATTACGTGGAGTTTTGCATTGAATTGGGCATAAGAAGTGCTCTGAACGTCATCTAAGTCACAACAATAGAAGAACACAGTCTGCTGAACATAATACTACACAAACATTAGATGTTGCCATGGTTTAATTGCACATAACATGTAAACATTCACAGTGCAGGGAGGAAAAAGTATGTGAGGCCCTAGCTTAATGACTTCTCCCAGAGCTAATTGGAGCCAGGAGTGAGCCAACCTTGACTCCGCAATCAGTGTGATAATATTGGATGTGTTGCTGACAGCTGTCCTGCCCTTAAAAAACACACACCTGTTTTGGGTTTACTGGTTTCAAGAAGCACTGTCTGATGTGAACCATGCCTCGCAGAAAAGAGCTCTCAGAAGACCTACGATCAAGAATTGTTGACTTGCATGAAGCTGGAAAGGGTTACAAAAGTATCTCCAAAAGCCTTGATGTTCATGTGTCCACGGTAAGACAGACTGTCTACAAAATGGAGAAAGTTTAGCACTGTTGCTACAGCTCCCTAGGCCTGGTCGTCCTGTAAAAAATGACTGCAAGAGAGCACAGCGCAGAATGCTGCATGAGGTAAAGAAGAATCCCAGAGTGTCAGCTAAAGACCTACAGAAATCTCTGGCACATGTTAACATTTTTGTTGACACATCTACAATAAGGAAAAACATTAAACAAGAATGGAGTACATGGGAGGACACCACGGAGGAAAGCCATTGCTGTCCAAAAAGAATATTGCAGCACGTTTAAAGTTTTCAAAAGAGCACCTGGATGTTCCACAGCACTACTGGCAAAATATACTGTGGACAGATGAAACCAAGATTGAGTTATTTGGGAAGAACACACAACACTATGTGTGGAGAAAAAAAGGCACAGCACACCAACATCAAAATCTCATCCCCACTGTAAAAACATGGCGGAGGGAGCATCATGGTTTGGGGCTGCTTTGCTGCCTCGGGGCCTGGACAGATTGTTGTCATTGATGGGAAAATGAATTCCAGAGTTTATCAAGACATTTTGCAGGAAAACGTATGACCATCTGTCCGCCAACTGAAGCTCCGCGCAGAGGATGGGTGATGCAACAGGACAATGACCCAAAAGCATACAAGTAATTCAACAAAAACAATGGCTGCAACAGCACAGAATACGCCTTCTGGAGTGGCCCAGTCAGAGTCCTGACCTCAACCCGATTGAAATGCTGTGGCATGACCTTAAGAGAGCGATTCACACCAGACATCCCAAGAATATTGCTACACTGAAACAGTTTTGTGAAGAGGAGTGGTCCAAAATTACTCCAGATCGTTGTGCAGGTCTGATCTGCAACTACAGGAAACGTTTGATTGAGGTTATTGCTGCCAAAAGGAGGGTCAACCAGATATTAAGTCCAAAGGTTCACATACTTTTTCTTCCCTGCACTGTGAATGTTTACATGTTATGTGCAATTAAACCATGGCAACATTAATGTTTGTGTAGTATTATGTTCAGCAGACTGTGTTCTTCTATTGTTGTGACTGAGATGATGTTTAGAGCACATTTTATGCCCAAAATTCATGCAAAACTCCACGTAATCCCAAGGGGTTCACATACTTTTTCTTGCAACTGTCGGATTATGTAGTGATTGGAGGAGATAACGGGTTTTCAGTTTGTCCCATAAGGATAAAAAGTGAGAAGTGATGGGGTTGGTTATAGAACGGCGGTCTATTGGCCTCAACCAGAGTAAGTTAGCTGTAGATAAGGGGTCACATTCTATCGATTCAAGGGCAACCCATTGAGGGATTTCAAAGGTTGCATGATATTTAGGTAACTGGGCTAAATGCGCTGCTTGATAGTATTTGCTGATGTCAGGTAAGCCTAGACCTCCATTGAGCTTAGGGCGATATAAGGTGGAGCGAGGTTATACGAGGACGAGTATTGCCCCATACATAGGAAAAGATGCGACGCTGCAGTGTGCGGAGATAGTGAGGGGGGAACTGGGACTGGAAGGACTCTAAACAGATATAGAATTTTTGGGAGGATTGACATCTTGATAACTGCTATTTTGCCTAGCCATGCAAGGGTTAAGGGAAGACCATTTGGTCAGAAGAGCAGAAAGATGGTTTAGCATCGGAAGATAGTTAGCTGCGTAAAGGTCTGATAACTTAGGAGTCAGTTTGATTCCTAAGACCTAACATACTCTTTTCAAAGCTAAAATACAAAGAAAAGTTTTGGCTATACATACACTTTTTAAGGGGTCCATAAGTGTACATTTCTTCCAGAAGATTTGCCCAACTTTCACCAAAGAGTCCAACATTTTTCTAATTGGAGTCAATTGGAAAAAAATGTGTTAATCCTGTGGAAAAATTGTGTGACTCTTGTGTTAAAACATTTATAAATAAACCCCTAAGTGGCCTAGCACATTAGTTCACTGAAAGAAATTGGCTTCATTTTAGGGATTTTATTTTAATATAATCTTGACAATTGGGGTGTGAAGTTTTGTGGGTGGTGGGAGTATATTTTTAACCTGGTACGTGCTGGGATTGCAGAGTGCTATCATCTGAAAGATTGGAGGTACACTACAGTGTTTTCCTGTATTTGTATTGAGAAATCTTGTTTAGGGTTGGCACGAAAGCTGTCAGTTCCAACTGAACCAAGTTCAGGAAGTACAATACCATATTGTATAGTAACAAATGGGTATGCATATGGCTACGTATTGTCACCTACTGTGCAAGTACAATATTTTTTCTTAAATTTTTCTTTGTGCATTTTTTACTTCTTTATTATTCAAACTATAAATAATTGGGTTTAAAGCTGGACATATAACATGGGAAAATAAAGATAAATATTTTCCTGGTGCATGGAATACTCAGTTGAGGGTCCAAAGTACATAATAATGGCAGCACCCATAAAATAAAAAACACCATGGTAATATGAGATGTACATGTAGAAAAAGCTTTGGACATTCCTGAGGAGTGAATCTTCAATACATTGGAGATAATACATATATAGGATACTATAATAAACATGAACGGAAGAAGAAGAGCAATGAAGCAAGTCAGGAACATGACAATTTTGCTTGAATCAATACTCTCACAGGCAGTCGTATGATGGCTAAAACTTCACACATAAAATGATTGACCTGGTTGGGATAACATAGAACCACTGGCACAGCAAGAGGTGGAAAAATGAAGACTATGAAACTCATTATCTATACAAAAGGCAGTCAGTTGGTAACATACACTCCATCTCATCAGAATTGGATAACGCAGAGGGTGGCAAATGGCAACATATCGGTCATAACCCATGAGAGCAAGGAGCAGAGACTCTGTACCAGACAAAAGAAGTATCATGAAGCATTGAAGGCTACAAGCACCAATTGAGATTGTTTTTTGAAGGGAAATCAGGTCAGAAAGCATCCGGGGCACAACAGATGTTGAAATACACAAATCCAGAATGGCTAAGATACAGAGAAAAAAGTACATTGGAATGTGTAATTGGGGGTTAATGAGGATCACGCAGAGTATAAGCATATTTCCCATAAGAGTAATATAATATATCCCTAAAAAAAAGTGCAAACAGTCCTGAGTTTATCTCCAAATCTTTGGAAAACCCCAGAAGAACTAGTTCTGTTGCTAGAGTCTGGTTCTTGGAATCCATCAATTGGAACCTTTAAAAATATAATTTTCATTTTTGTTGCAAATAAAGACAATGGTAGATCATTTTATTGACAAAATACCTGACATAGTAACAAAAGGATGTGAAGTTCCCTATTGTCATAGACTTAAAGTTGAACTAAGGGCCAAACTTCTTTTTTTTAAATTTTGAATAGAGTAAGGGAGGGTTATTACCCCATCTGTTTGTTTTTTTGATTTTTTTTACATCTGTGCCCCATAAGGGATAATTCTGTTTATGTCCTGTCCCATAGCTAAAACAGGAAATGGGAGGACATTCTTCCAAAGTGAGGAAATCCCTTGTTGTCACCAGAGTCACCAGAATTAATGTCCCTGCTGGAAGATTTTTCCTCTATTCCTGTTCTGGTGACAACTCAATATGTGGGTTTTCTTTCACTTTCACTTTCTGGATGATAATGGTAAACAGGACAAACACAGAGGGTGAATCTATGTAACTGGGACACAGATTGCATTGGCAGTGACTCTGCTAAGCTAGATGTGAGGTAAGGTTGTCTGACTTGTAAGGCGGTCCCAGGTCATTTTCATATAGTGGCTGCAGTGAACCATTCCCCCATTTGCCCCCTTCTGCTGCCTGAATGGGGGCAGCTGCGGGCCTCCCTCCCCATTTCAGGCCACCACTGCATGGGAGACAGAGCAGCTCTTGTCAGGCTCGCTGCCTGCTCTGTCCCCCCTGATTGGCCACAGCGGAAGACCAACCAGAGAGGGAGCATCATAAGATATGTAGTCCAGAAGACTGGCTGCCCCATTGGAACAGGAAGAGAGCAAAAAAACAGCCCCAAGATGCCAAGAGAGGTAGGAGAGAGCCAAGAGCCTGAGAAAAAGGGCTCTGGAGGCAGTACTACAGGAGCCAGGGTGGTGAGAGGACTGCATTGGGGGACAGGATCCCAGAGAGGAAGAGACTGAGTCACTGGAGAGCAGTTACTTTGTTGGGGAGACCAAAAAAATCTGAAGAATATATTTTAAAAATAAATATTATTTAAAATATATATTTTTTAAATGTACAGTTGCAAGAAAAAGTATGTGAACCCCTTGGGATTACGTGGAGTTGTGCATGAATTGGGCATAAAATGTGCTCTGAACGTCATCTAAGTCACAACAATAGAAGAACACAGTCTGCTGAACATAATACTACACAAACATAAGATGTTGCCATGGTTTAATTGCACATAACATGTAAACATTCACAGTGCAGGGAGGAAAAAGTATGTGAAGCCCTAGCTTAATGACTTCTCCCAGAGCTAATTGGAGCCAGGAGTGAGCCAACCTTGACTCCAATCAGTGTGATAATATTGGATGTGTTGCTGACAGCTGTCCTGCCCTTAAAAAACACACACCTGTTTTGGGTTTATTGGTTTCAAGAAGCACTGTCTGATGTGAACCATGCCTCGCAGAAAAGAGCTCTCAGAAGACCTACGATCAAGAATAGTTGACTTGCATGAAGCTGGAAAGGGTTACAAAAGTATCTCCAAAAGCCTTGATGTTCATGTGTCCACGGTAAGACAGACTGTCTACAAATGGAGAAAGTTTAGCACTGTTGCTACTCTCCCTAGGCGCGGTCGTCCTGTACAAATGACTGCAAGAGCACAGCGCAGAATGCTGCATGAGGTAAAGAAGAATCCCAGAGTGTCAGCTAAAGACCTACAGAAATCTCTGGCACATGCTAACATTTTTGTTGACACATCTACAATAAGGAAAACATTAAACAAGAATGGAGTACATGAGAGGACACCACGGAGGAAGCCATTGCTGTCCAAAAAGAATATTGCAGCATGTTTGAAGTTTGCAAAAGAGCACCTGGATGTTCCACAGCACTACTGGCAAAATATACTGTGGACAGATGAAACGAAGATTGAGTTGTTTGGGAAGAACACACAACACTATGTGTGGAGAAAAAAAGGCACAGCACACCAACATCAAAACCTCATCCCCACTGTAAAACATGGCGGAGGGAGCATCATGGTTTGGGGCTGCTTTGCTGCCTCAGGGCCTGGACGGATTGTTGTCATTGATGGGAAAATGAATTCCAGAGTTTATCAAGACATTCTGCAGGAAAACGTACGTACGACCATCTGTCCGCCAACTGAAGCTCCGCAGAGGATGGGTGATGCAACAGGACAATGACCCAAAGCATACAAGTAATTCAAAAAAACAATGGCTGCAACAGCACAGAATACGCCTTCTGGAGTGGCCCAGTCAGAGTCCTGACCTCAACCCGATTGAAATGCTGTGGCATGACCTTAAGAGAGCAATTCACACCAGACATCCCAAGAATATTGCTACACTGAAACAGTTTTGTGAAAAAGAGTGGTCCAAAATTACTCCAGATCGTTGTGCAGGTCTGATCTGCAACTACAGGAAACGTTTGGTTGAGGTTATTGCTGCCAAAGGAGGGTCAACCAGTTATTAAGTCCAAAGGTTCATATACTTTTTCCTCCCTGCACTGTGAATGTTTACATGTTATGTGCAGTTAAACCATGGCAACATCTAATGTTTGTGTAGTATTATGTTCAGCAGACTGTGTTCTTCTATTGTTGTGACTTAGATGACGTTCAGAGCACATTTTATGCCCAATTCATGCAAAACTCCACGTAATCCCAAGGGGTTCACATACTTTTTCTTGCAACTGTATTCTTCAGATTTTTAACATAAAAAAGTCATTTTAACATATATTTTTACATATATTCGTAAATGTATTCCAAAAATGTAGATTTGTATTTTTAAAGACATACAGTATATTTGAAATGTATTTTTAAAATCATTTTTTATATATTTTGTAATAAAAACGCCAAATTGTAGCATTTCAAATATATGGCAATATATTTGGGAAGACTATTTTTAAAATATATTACAAATATATTTGTCTTTCATATGAGTACCGCACTGTGACCTGCGACCAGAGGGATGGGGTCGCTGCTAGGATACAGTCCCTACCGTATTAACTGCCTGAGCCATCACAGACAACCCAGAGTAAGCGGACACCTGATCGAAGGGATCTCTGTGAAGCCGCACTCCACTTAGCTCTTTCTGCAGTATTTTTAATTATCAATGAATTGACTTCATACAGTGATGTATCCAACACATAACCCACCTTGCTTGCCATGGGGAAATCTCTATCCTTGTGAGCAAGCCAGGAGTGGTAAAATGCATCAAGGAAGGTAAGATTTGGGTTGGAGACATCACTGTATGCAGTCAATTCTTTGATTATTAAGAATACTGCAGGAAGTGCTATGTGGAGTGCGGCTGATATTCTTTCCTATACTTTACTCCTCCATAGATACAGTATATTCAATGATCTTTGTCCCCCTAGGACATGGAGTGTGTTACTGGCCGGTTCACCAGGAAAAAATTTACAAAATCCAGAATGTACTAAACTAATGCAACTGCCATATGTAAAGACTAATAAATCGCAATATATACATATTTATTCTTGGGTTTAGATATGCTCTACGTCAAAATAAACAATGCTTTTATAAAAATTAGTCACTGAAAATCTGCAAATAATAAAGTGATAAAAAAATGGACTTCTCATTCTGCAAAGGCTGGTCATCTGGTTGTCATATTAAACCATTTAACTTAAATATATTGAGGTACTAACCCAAACTCAGTCCAAAGACAAAGGGTTCTGACTGTTCACATATTTTCTTGATTTGATTGCTTGTCCTGTGATAGTGACTCAGTTAGAAAGTAGCAAAGCCAGAGGTCGGCAGTGGAAGCCCCCATATTTTATTAAAATAGTCACCTTTAATCAGTGTCAGTCTATCTATTTAAACTGTTCATTAAATCACAAATCTATTTATTTTAAGGTCTGAAAATCAAATGAAGAGATCATATCTTCAAAGTTTTCTGCTGACTTCCACTTGCGAAAGGCTTCTAGTGGACGGATAGATATGATACTGTTATACAGATAATGCAGTAACCCCTGAGAGTAATTACTGCTGTTCAATCAGAAAACACATTTAATGGCTGCAGGTAAGGGACTTAAAGTGTATGTCTGGGTAAAATAATAAATAAAAAAATGCTTGTTATCTCTACAGTACATACACATTTACCCATGTTTGTCTTTTCAACCATTTGAGGACCTGATCACAGGAAATCTCTTCCCTAAAAAACTTCAACAAAGTTGCAAGGGCATATCTTTTATGTTCTGTTCCTCTTCCCCTGTTGCTGCTCCCCATTATCACATAGCAGGAGTGACTATCAAAATGCAGGCACTCCAGGTCAATCCAATAGGCAGGCCGGGTCGATAACTATCGGGCAGGTAGGTACAGGAGGAGCAGGTGGAAAGAATGGTCAGGGTCACAAGCCAGGGATCAAACAGGAGAAGTCAGCAGAGGTCAGGATCAGGCAGGGTCGGCAACAAGTCAGGCAGAAACAGGAACAGGAATGCAGGTTACAAGATACAGGGGCCCATGGAAAAACACACACCAAGGCCCTGACTGTGAGTCTGGCCATTCCTTAAATACAACCCCTGCAATCAGCTTCAGGTGTTTTGGCTGACTGCAGGGGTGAGTCTCTGATTGCTGAGAGCACCCGCTGCCCAGCCCTGGTACTGCAGCCCACAAGGCAGGTGAGTCCCACCGTTATTGGCAAGTCCATTCCCGACAGGCAGCCAAATGGCCAACTGCAAGAGCTTGCACAGCATGCTAAAAATGCTACCATTACCATCTCCTACAGCCATTACCAGCTCCTGTCACCTCTGCTGGACTGCTACAATTTTCATTTTGGGGAAGTTACAATATGCTTGTAAACACATCTCTTACAAATTCATACAATGAACACATTTCTTGCAGACAGCTACCTACAAATCACACTGAATACATTTAAATACAATGTAGCTATGTATGTGA